ACTTTAATTAATCGGTGATGATCGGTTGTTGAACTGCTTCGACTATCTTCTTCGTCGGCAGTCGCGAAATGGTGTTGGTGGTTGTTATTATCATCATAAAATGATTCTTCTTCTTCTACTTGCAGTGAATCATCGTCATCATCGTGTGTCATACTTTCTGGAATAAATATTGAAAGAAAAGATTGAATTTATAGGAAAGAGATTTATAACACTCAAGTGGATTCACCGTACCTGTAACTGAATAAGAACTATCACCTCCACCACCACCTCGATTTGTTCGTTCAGCTTGAGCTAAATAGATTCCGGCTTGCGATTGCTGTCCATCGCTAATAATCGGTCCTGTTGTTTGATATCGATGTGAAATGGCATTTGGTCGTGGCATGTGTAGTTTTGGATTTGGATTTGCTGAATGTCGATTACGAGAACGTCTTGATGAAAACATCATGGTACAACCCTGTGTTGTACATTTATGCATTTCACGTAAATGTACAGCACTAAAATGTATTTTCAGCGCACCTTTATCACAAAATGTTTTCATACATACATGACACTGCACACGTTTTTTCCCATGTGGGCTAACAAGAATACGTTGTTCACTTAGTGAACAACGTATTCGTTGATGATTATGGCTATTGGTCGTGCTACTAGCCTTAAGGCCTGGAGTTGTTGACGATGTTGATGAGAGTGAACTGTTGGATAAACGTGACGATGATGTGTTGATTAATGGTAATGGCTGTTCTTGTTGCTGTTCACAAGACGGCGAAGATTGCGATGGCGAAGCTTTTGATGATAAATTTAGAACATCATCTTGACTGATTCGTTTACGTTTTGTTGAGTGACGTTGACGTACAACATTTTTGGAGCTGATCGTTTTTGACGAATCTAGAAACAAAGCAGTATTATGAAGTGAAAACGATTAGTACTTTTTTACAATTTTAGCTGCATAAACTAATCGATATTTTACAGATGACTGTTGTATTAAATTCTTCTAACATTTTTTTTTTTCTAGATATTTAACTAACACCTTAATTTTTATAAAAGTCTTCTATAGCAATAAATAAGCTCAAATTACTTTGATTTTGGCAAGTTAACGATGAATGTTGTTGTTTTTTGATATTATTGTCATCAATATTACTGTTTTCATCATTATGTTGTTGTTTCGTTGAATTTCCATTTGTTGATGATCCATTCGTATTTGTATTGTTTCCATTTGATTTTCTTTCATTATGATTTTGTTCATTTGTTGATGGCTGTAAATTATTTCCAATTCGTCTAAAATCATAATTCATCATTAATGGTGTGGAAAAATGTGCAATTAATAAATTTAAAAATTGTAAATCGACTGGTTGAGGGCAACGAAAATCTGCTGGTGTAGCACATGTTGAATTTGCACCAGGTGGAACGTGTGCTTGTGTTGGAAACCATGGCATTGTTGTTGGAAATGGAAACGGTGGACGAATCAATGGAGGAGCTGCCGGTGTTGTTGTTGCGAGAGGAACTGTTGGAAATGGTGATATATGATTTTTAGCCTCTTGTTTAATTGGTGGTGGCGGCGGCGGCGGCGATGATGAGTGCGGGCTGGGACTCAGTTGTGGTGGAGATGGCTCACTACCCGCTCGCCGCTGATGATGTGCAATTTGAAGAAAATATTGTGCTAATAGTCGAGTAGGGTCAAAGCGTAAAAATTGTGGAATCAAAAATTGTTCTTCTTCTTCGGGTGATGTCATAACAAGATGGAATGATATACTGTCATAGGTAGAAAAACTCTAAACAAACAAAAGAATAATATGAACAAAAAGATTCTTCTAGTTATTGGAGACAAATTTAATGATAATCAAAGTGTTTAGACTTCGAAGTATGAATCTCTTTTGTCATTTTTATAAGAGAAATATATCTTTTACCCTGCTCTAACTTGAATTTATACTGGTTTTGATCATCTTATTTTGTTGTCGAACGTATATAATGAATGTATATACGTAGCATCTGATACATATAAATATATTTTTTGTGACTATTTTAAATGTTGAGATAATGTTTTCCATTTGTACTACTAACCCTTATCCAAATTGGATATATGTATTAAATTAGCATTACCTTACTATATATATATTGTAACAATTAAACCTTTATATTGAGTGAAAAAAAGACTTTATAAATATAATGTAATTTGATCGCACATATTCAATTTTTTCTTTTTTCGATTGTGTAAGAGAATGAACCTCGTAATTGTTCGAATAGATAGAGAGTTGTTGTTGTTTAATAATTATTATTATTATGTCTATACAAAGAAGAAGAGACCTTATCATAAAACGAATACTATTTGAAAGTATCCGTTATATATATATATATATATATATATCTATATCGACAAGTACCACTTTTAAATAAAAAGAACAACATATATAGAGGAGAGAAAACGGAAGATCAAATGTGTATGAGTGTGCATGACATTACTTTGATTAAAACTTATCGAATGTCTGTTGAGATTTTTTTTTAAACTGGTTTTTATCAATAGAAAAAAGAGGATGACACTACACAGTAAAAAAAGAGATAGAATAAAACGACGGTACCTATTCTAATTATATAATGGACATCTGTAGATAGTCAAATAAAAAAAAAAACTGAGATGAGTGAGAGAATTCTCTTCTTGATCGGTGTGTATTTTATCAAAAAAAGCTACGTTTTAATATTCTTATCAAGTATATTTTCCACTTTTCATTATTTACAAGAAAAGATGGAAATAAGTTCAATAACACCGGCAAGTTAAAGATCACACGTTGTTGATAATCCAAAACTTTCTGTTTTGCCAAAACTCTGCTACGGCACATTAAAACGACATTATTTTATAAGATTCAAAATTGTTGTATTTTTTTTTCCTCTGACACCATCAGTTCAAGGTATTTATAATCAATCAATCGACCCAATATTCCTTTTTCTGTACATTGATACAAGAATAAATCTTGAAAAATTGAATAGATAGATAGAAAACAAATGGTCGATCTAAAGGAACACCACTGCGACATAGAAATAGAGAAAAAGAAAAAAGGAAAGACTGATTGAACGATTTGATGGTAGCAATTCTTCTACATGTCTGAGATAGAATTACACGTCATATATATATAGACATATCTTTCAGGGGTAATATCTAAATGAGAGTGCCTAAAGTCTAATTAGATAATAATATATTGACATTGCTCATTTCTTCAATATTTAAAACACATATGAAAGTCATTGTATTTGTCTATAAAAAATAACAACAACAACAACAACAATAAACCTTTTGATTAAACAGATTATTATTTTTGTAATAGGCGAGACGGGAGAGGAGGAGAAAAATGTAAAAATCTATTTATTTTTATTCTAATCTATTTGATACATACTTGTTCAACGTACGACTTATTATAATCATCAATTGTCCATTTTAAACTTTTTAATATTTGGTCTTTTTCACTGTCGTGTATTTCTTCAAATAATCGATCGAGTAATATCTTAATAAGTGGTGTAACTGTTGTACAACCATAGAGACATAATGTAGCAATTTCAAATATATGTTGACTTGATACTAAATCGCAATGACTTTGTAAATTTGTATAAGATGTTTGACGATTTAATGCTTGAAAAAAATAAATGATCTTATTAGTATGATTAAAAAAGTAGTTTACTTAACTATTTCAGTGATAAGTTAATGTGAAAATTAAAAAAAAAGAGTAATTATTCGCACTCTATTGATAAGAAATGAAACGTTTGATCTATAAAACATTAAACTATATACGTACCATGACTAACATAACTATGTTTACATTCATCACAAGAACGTACGGATAATGAACTGGCACTAAATTGTTCACATTGACAATTGGAAATTTTACACTTTAACACAGTCTAGAACAAAAAAAAACAGTGGAAAATATGAAATCATTAATAAATTAGACGTGTGCAAATCGACCAGTCTTTCAATCCGAAAATTCGATAAGGATGCGCTTTCCCATTTTTGGATTTATTACTCATAGAAAGAAAATTATTATAATTTGGTTTTTATTGGTAAAAACGTTAAAAGAGAGAGAAAGAAAGAGACTGATGGTATATGCTGTGCTACTTTAGAACCGTTCTTAAGGATAAATTACATCCTACAAGTAATGAATACAATTTTTAATATAACGTCAGAATATCAAGAAAACATTCGAAGCAACTGAAACACTCATCATCCAATTTTGATTATTATAGTTGGTGGTCAACAAAAGTGAACAAATATTTGAAAATAGTGATAAATTTTTGACCAAACTAAAAATTAAAAATTCCTTATCGAATACGGACACGAAAGATCGCACACATTTGAAATAAATACTCGAAATAATAAATGACTACCTTCATCTATCAACACATAAAACTATGTCAACCAATACGACGTTGAAGCGACACTATTTTTCTTCTTCTATTATTCACCTCACAATAAAAGAATAAACTGAGCGTGTGTCACACACATACAATTGAAATCTTTTTTTAACAACAACGTCAACAACGAATGACATTCATTCACTATGTTAAAAGAAATTATGATTGGACTTTCACATTTTTTTCATCGTTCTCTTCTTTTCTTTTCTTTTTTCTTCTTCGGTATAGTCACCCTGTCGCTGTCGTTTTTCACATTTTAAAATGGCACGAAAAATGAAAAAAGCAGCAATAGTCTTATCTAAAATGGAATTTCTCCTTTGAATGATGATGATGATGACATAAACATTCGTTTTTTTTTCTTCTTTTTCGTTTTATCACCATACGCAAAGCGAAAAACAGGTTCTGTGTTGATATTTGATATGGTACAAGAGAAGAGAAGAAGATACATTACGCAGTGGGAATAGTTGTGAAATGCAAAGTTATACTCATTAGTCGTTTTTTTTATCTGACTGTTGTTCTGTCGTTCAAAAGATGAGAGAAGAGAGAGAGATGTGCTTTAATTTAAACCTTAGAGGCAATCAGTGAGATAGTCTTGTTTATATAAACTACTACAAAATATGTGGAGACAAATGACCGCGGCATGAAAAAACATTAAAATATAATCAAAAAGAAAAAGAACATCATTAGACAATAATAACAATCTGAAATAACACATTGAACATGTTCAAATGAGAAAAAATTACTCATTTGAGAACAGATGAACAAACGTCATTTCAGTTTTCCTTGAATTTTCGTCTTTTTAGGTTTCTTTTGAGAGTCAATATTAACCATAATGGAATAAATTAAGAGATTTTCTCAAATGTGAGAGAACAAGTGTTAAAATGCCTCGATCAAGAAAATAATTCAGAATGTTGTGGTTTATACATTTTTTTCGAGAATTTAGAAAACAACATTATTATCTGTCCAAAAAATGCTTCATATTCTAACAGTGTACACTTATCATTTATGAGTGCACCACTTCCACTAACTCTCTAAAAATTATCGTTTTTCTGAACGATATATTTCAATATCTATTTTATATTTCAAATCTTCGATAAAGAAGGACGCTATTTTTAAATTTTCGATCACTGTTTCTTCTACTAATGTATCAAAAACAAGCGTAATCTCTTTACATATTTTTCGTTTTGCATCTAAATATATTGTTTAGTGTGCTAGTATCGAAGAAAGAAGAGGGAGTAAACGCGAATATAATAAATAAAGCTTATCACTTGTTTAAAATAACATGACTTTAAATGAAGGACACTAAATTGAAACGTGTCAAATTGTATATGATAATGAATTGTGTGAATGTGAACGATGTATGAATATAGATACAGCACTTGTTGGCCATTAGTCTTTTGTTATACAAAATTAAAAACAGAAACGAAAAGAAAACAAGACGGTTTTTTTGTTTGAATTTTAACTGAAAGGCAAAGAAAAAGTGTGTTTAATAGACGTAAATATAAGCCGAGCACCTTTCCTTTGACGTAGCATAATTTTTACATGTGTGAATTCATAGCCTAATATCGTCACAACAAAAACTTGCGCAGTTAAGTACTTGGATGAAAAACTGACTAAATCTGTACAATTCGAAGTGTCTATTTCAACTATTTACCTTTCAATTAAGCATAAAGCATCATCTATCTCAGTGCAAGCAGAGCTCACTTTGGACTACAGAAAAATCATCCCTTGTTCAACCACTTAATGGAAAACTATCAACATAAAAGTGAAGACATTGCAGATGCTATTGCACTCGCTCCAAATAAACGATAAACTGAGAATGCTTTCTTTCTTAGATTCGATTTTGTGCGAAATGTGCCTTTTTCAATCATCACAGATCGTGGTCAATACTCGAGTGTTTGTGTTGTGTATTTTCAGCTGTGCACACATGAAATGATAGGAAGTCTTCTATTAGCGTTGCTAATTAATGCTCTGTCACCCACTGTCATATGAGTGGTTATGATACTATTATTAGAATTGTCATCAAAGTGTAAGGAGGCTGATCCCCTGGACTGTGTGTGTATACGTGCCTTATAATGCTCGTCTGAATTAATCATGTTTATATTCGTTAATCATCTACATATGTGTTAACATAGCGATGAGATTTTTAAATGTGTTCTCGCTGTTGAACTCTCTCTCTCCCTCTCTCTGTCTTATCAATGAATATTCCGCTCTCTACGCCAACAACATTTACTTTCTCTCATATTAAAAGTGAATGAATACTGAAAACGTTGTCTTTATCACTCTTCGTCACGTACAGTAACGTTTTGATTAAGAACTGAGCATAAAAGAAGTTTTAGAAAGATCATTTATTACCCAATGTCAGTTACTGTTTTAACGTAAAAGGATGTCTTGCGAAAATTCTAATTGTTTTCCATGTATATCTTTTTTATTATTGTGCGCTTACACAGTTTTTCAAAGTCAGTTGTTTTATTATCAAGCAGTTTCGCAATGACCAATATGTTTCACAAAGATTTATAACCTAGTATGGTAAATTGAATGAAACGTTCCGCAGCTGATAATTTATCTTCTTTCTCTTTTATTCTATCAGGCGTAACAATTACTTTTATGTACATTGTCAAATCATTTATCCTCTTGTTTCTTTCTTTTCTTTTCTCTTTCTAATTCTGTATACAACGGGATACAACGAATACAAAGCACTTTTCACTCACTCACACATATTTCTTCATAAAGCTTAAAAAAGCATGAAAGAATGAATTCAGTGATAAATGTGTCAAATATGACAAATTGTTAAGAAAAAAAAACGACGTAACATATAAACAACTATCACCATGAAATTATTTCCGATCAATGTTACTTCATATTAACCATCACATGATACGTACGAGGAAAGGAAAATATTTAAAATTTAGTAATCAATTTTAATCCAATATGGTTTTAAACAAAAAATATTTAAAGGTTATTCTGAAATATTAAAAACTTATTCCAACAGCACAGTACTTTTTTAAAAGAAAACTAGTTCATATATTTTATTTTCATTTATTACGAAAGAATAGAATACACACAAAAATTAGCTCTTCTTCTTGAGTACTTTCTCTTATATGCAGTGTTCACACTCTTTCTCATCTTTAACATTCATACAAATTTCGAATAAATTAAATGTTTTATAAAAAAAATAAAAGAAAAAAGTAACGTTTCACATAAAAAAATTTGAATTTTTTTAATAGGCAACATTAATTGATCTTAGGTAAACATGAATATGTCTATATAGGATGATAAGCATGATATCTATAGAGGATATTTCGTTTTTATGAATCAATGAACATACATATTTATCTAATTCTTAACTTCAAAAAAACAACAAAACATTAGTCTATCTCTAGTAATCATAGACATCTGGATACACTCAATAACTCGTAATAAAACTATCTTTGTTTATGTTCCTTTACCTTTAGAAATGCAGGACATGTTCTCATCATACTCACCATGCAATTTTAGATTACACAAACAGTTTTGAAATTTCTTAATAAGTGTAAAAAGAAAAATAGTTTTAATAACATAGTGATTTTTTATTGCATTAGATAACAAGAACCAAGTTTGTCTGTTGTTTTTTAATATCTATCAGTTGATTCAATTGTTTACTTCTAATATCTCTAATAAGCATAACGATGATGACCACTTTTTTTCGTGTCATTATACATCAAAATTTTATCATTAGTCAACTTAATCGTTCTATCTCATTCATGTCACCCAATGAATTACAATAAACATGGGAAAAAAATCAATTTGACACACACACGTACACTCTTCGATATGGAAATGACAACTTATTTAGCTATAAAAAAAAGATTATTTGTCCTTCGACGAAAAAACAAAAAAGAACAAACAAGTGTGGATCATATTTTATTTTCCGTGCAGCATGCGGGCGCGGATATAAAAAGAAAGTGACGCAGCATCGCAAAATTTGGTGTCGTCAATCAATCAAATACACAAATCTACCGAGAGAATATATCAATAAAATTATTCTTAGAATATTGTCACATATCAACCTTATCATGGCATGTCCAACGTTCGAGAAACAAAATTAGTAAGACTAAAAAAGAAATTGTCAACATAGACTTAAAGATATAATAAACTCCCTTCCAGACTAGAAGATCACTGCTGATGATTTGTTCTGAAGTCCCTTTCACGATTTAAAGTTAAAAAGGGGCTTGAGATACTTGCTACAATTGAGAGACTATGATGATCTTCTTCTTATCTGGAAGAGTTTTTTATGTGAGAAGTTCCACTTCTACAGTCTTTCACTACGTAAAACATTCTTTACTCTCATCTTTCAAGTCACATGGAATAGTATTTAATTCTTCTTAGATCAGAGTTTTACAAAACTCTTTAGGTCTTACACTAGCCAAATCGAATACTAGAAGGCAAGTAGATTACTCTCTTAGAAGGAGGAAATAAACGAAAATCATTTTTTTTTCTAATTTATTTATCGAATTCAAACTTTGTTTGAATCATTTTCTCATCGGTTCAACTTTTTAATCTCTCAAGTATTCGAAGTTTTCTACTTACATTTTTTGGTGACTGTTGCATATCAGCAATTAAATTACAGCCAACCATTTATTTATTTTTTTAATTTTTAATTGCTGTCTTTCATCTAATTGACTACCAGAATATTTAACTTATCGAAGTCGTCGTCTGTATCTATCTATATAGGCAAATAATCGACTCTTCTCTATTCTCCTATAGTATAGATAGATACACAAAACACGAGATAAAAGATAAAGAGAGAACTATTGTACAGTTGTATATGTGTGTGTGTTCTTTCTTTTTTTTTTTCTCGTGCGATGATGATGACACAGCCATTGACCTGGTCAGAAGACTTAAATGTATCGATTGGTTGTGGTCACTTATCAATGACAGATTTTTGTTGCATGCGACGATATTATCTCGTCGGACATCGTCCAGAAAAACTTTTCTTTCTCTCTCTATTTCTCTCTGTCTTTCTCTGTGTCATGTTCTGTTCTTGAACATATTCTACACATCATCATCATCATCACGATTATGGTTATCAGAGTAAAAACAAAACATACAACTGATTGATATTGTCTATAACAACGAGAATAATAATATATAGAGTATAATACGGGAAAAAATAACGAAATTCTAGTAGATAGTCTGATTCAAGACCACATGTGAAGATACTTCTCATTGAATCTGCAGCATATAGATGTTTTTTGAGTAAGAAGTAGAATTTGAAGCCGGTGTAAATAACCATATCGGTACCGGTCAATCGGTATAAAACTTTTAAAATCGTTGAATTACTTGTGGGTTAAAAAACTGTAAAAATGATGAATAATAATCGAGGAAAACTTTCAGAATTGTAAAACGGTTATTAATCAATAAAAGTGAGAAAGTCTTTTTTTATATTTATTTTTCAAAAAAACATCTCAAAATGCGAGAAAAATCATTTCCTAAAATGGGTAAAAAACCGCCGAATGGACGTACCGTCCCTTTTCCAACTTAGGTAAAAAATACACTTTTCTGCGCTGTTTCGAATCAATGTAAAAAGTCTTCAATTGTTTCTTGTACGACATTTTTAAGAAAGATTAAATTACGAAAAAAGTTTACATAAACCCCGTTCAACTTTTTCTTAACACATAACACTATCTTTAATTTTATCACCGGGAGAAAAATAAAGTTTATGCAAAGTCGCGGAAAAGTGTTTTTTTGTATTCAACATATTCGATAACCAAGATTTTCTATTTTTGGCGTATTGCCAAAACTTTAAGAAAAATTTCGAAACTAATAATATTTTTTCATGGAAATTTTTTTCACCCTTTGTATTCGAAAAATTTTCTTAATCTATTGACAATAAATAAAATGTTCTGTCGAGTGTGCTGAATATGAAAAAAACACTTTTTCATATTCATAAACTATATTTTCTTCCTCACGTTGACAGGAATTTTCCACTATTAAGAGTATAAAACTTGCTTCAGATTTGTCGGAGATATAAAGGTGTTTTGAACATGGTTATTACCTACTAGAAGGAAAGAGAGACAAAACTTTTGTTTAAATGGATTGCTAAAGTATTAGAGCGTGAAGATGGAAGAATCAAGATGAATCTTCTGAATACTTCAGGACTTGACTCACAAAAACAAAACCAATAGTGGATTAAAAGGGTGATAAATATGTCGTTGACATGCCATTTGAACTGTTATTCTGGTTAGGATATGTGTCATATATTTTTTTACAGTGTGTACTACTCCAAAGTGCAATCAATTAATGTTCTTATACATTTCTCACAAAAACAAACATAATTAAATGATTGTACAGACACACATACACATACAGAATGATATGCTTCTTCAATTTTAACGTGACAAGAAAAAATAAGCAAAAAAAAAATGAATATCTAAAGAAAGAACCAACAGATTTTTCAAGTCATATCATTATCATTTCTTTCAATATAAATGCAGACACGTCAATTTATTTTAGCTCTCTCTCTTCATTTTCTCTCTCTTTTTCTCTCTGCATCTGATATTGGCATTGTTGATGACGACCGTATCGGTCATCAGTCTTGAAAAACACATTGCAAAAAGTAGATAGATAAAAGAACAAGAAGATGCACGTATATCTTTAAAATGATGCTTTCAAGCCTCGAGGTGACCGGTCAAAAAAATATATTGTTATATTAAGCTTGTTTGAATAACAAAAAGGGAACGACACACAAACTCTGATTTTATTTATTTTTTTATGAAGAATAATGCTTAAAAATATAAACACAAAGTATTTTGGCTTAAAATACATCTTTTCCATGAGAATTTTACTATAGAACGCTAAACTCTATCTATTACATATGTGAAAATCGTCTAGAACTGATTAGAGGAATCACGATTCTACATTCAAGACTTTTTCTTCATATCACTTTTAAATGCCAAAAGTTCGCAATTTAATTGTTCAAGTACTTAGAGTCATCGAATAGTAAAGAAAATACAGAACTTATTAGATTCTTCGAAATTTCTTCTATCGGCCAGAAAAATCTTATAGAATAGACTTTCCTCTTTAAGATAAAAGGTCAGAAATCCTTAGATTTGTATATGCACTGTAAAAAATAAAGTATGTAAATGACACACATAATGTGAACGCCAAGTCAATTCCCAATGACCGTCTAGAATGCAGTGTGTGTAAAGTACACATTGAGAAGTAAATGTCTGGCTCTACATACTGAGACCAATGATATAGCCTACTTGTCTAAACTATCTGTGCTGGAAATGTTACAGGAAATGTAGATTTACACATCTAGTAATACATTTTATTTTTTACAGTGTGCCAGGAGATACTGAGACAATATCGTCCAGCCAGTGCATTTCAACGGCAGACAAGACCGAGATTTTTCTTTGATAACTTGCAATTCAAGCGCAGTGGAAGTAGTGCGACCTTTCTTTTTATCTTGATGAGGAAAGTCTATCCTATAAAATAACTCTATCATTTGGTACAGTGCCAAAATCGACTCCTGAGAGACGGCAGAGGTTTGTCATATATTTCAACGCAGTGTCTCTTTTCCATCACAAAAGCATAAAGTCGGAAAAAAGGTTAATTAACCAGGAATTGTACATTAAAACTCTATGGTGTCTCTTCTTTTCCCAAAGTACTCTATTAGATGAATTTTATGTTCGTCCATGTCTGTGGACGAACATAAAAAAGTTTCAAAATTTTTGAAAATGAAGAGTTTTATGTATATTTGTTACTTAAATGTTTGAAAGATCCTAGTTTTGAAATACTTATTATTGAAAGGAAACTACGTAACGTTTTCTCAGAATAATTTTTGAACAAAATGTTCGCTTCATGCTTATCAGTTTAGTCGAGAAATTTTAAAAGCGTGTTCGACCAAAACTGATCGCAGAATCGGACTCTCCGTAGTCGATCACTTTGTATACAACAAGCTTTGAAAACATTTTCTGCATTGCTTTGCAAAAAAACTTTTTACAAGTTTCTGGAGGTGTTCAATGAGACTGAGAAATTTTTCTAGAGTATTCCGATTCAAAACCTGTTGCATACAAAGCTACCGGCTATGGAGAGCCCGAACCTCCAATTAGTTTTGGCTGAACACGCTTTTAAAATTTCGTGACCAAATTAATATGGATAAAACATGACGATGGACAACATTTTTCATTTGTCTATGAACAGGAAAAAAGATTGTTGATACAAATCTCTGGATTTAAGTTTGTATAGTGGCAAAAGCAGCTTTTTTTATCAAAAACAATTATTTCTTTTACAATTGTCTTTTTGAAAAAAGTAAATAAAATAGCCTATTGTTATTAGAAAAAAGTATCATATTGTCTTACTTGCAATAAACAATAATACGAGTTATAATGCCTCTTATATTATCTTCGATGAAACAAAAATCATCTGCAAATTTAACACTTCAACATCGTATGAAAACAATACGATGCATATAGTTAGAGAAATCTCATGGTCGTATCTAGCGTAGTTCTTATTTTTCTGCGCATAAATTCGAGCGAGTTTTTAGTTAAAATCCGTTATAATCTGTTGTCACTTAAAAGATTAACTAATAATATTGAATGAAAGTGAATGTACTACAAGGAAGCTTACTCACACGAACACTTAACGTTTTATTAATGGTTATCACATAGTGTCACTATTAATAGGAAGTTAAGAAATAAATAAAAAAAAGAAGAGAGTGTTCATTCTGTTCATTCACTTAATGCAGAAAAAATGTATAAAACTTGTTTATTTTTTTGTGTCATATTGCATCATGAATAGATAAGCGATCATAACGTAATTTAACAATCAGTTCCTGTTATTTTTTATTTTTTTGAACATATAGCGTGCGACACACAGAACCATCAGTTCGTAAATCCTCTGAGATTATAACGACGATAAAAAGAAGAGAAAAAAATAACCTTTTTCAGGAACTTGTCAAAGTGTGTTGTTCTAACTGATCATCTAAGTGGATTTTAGTGACTATCTACGTTATATAAACCAGAGATCATCATGTCACCAAATAAAACGCTTATAATGATCTATGACACTACAATCAATTGTAAAATGAACAATGTGAAAATGATCGAGCACTGATTTATATACTCTACATCTACCTAAAAGAAACGTTTTACGTTACCAGAAAAGATTAACTGTGTGTAGTGCGATTTATTCAATAATCTGTTAACAATCCGAATTTTATCACGTAGTCCATGCAGTATGATTTATTTAACATCGAACTATAAGTCCTACAATTCATTCTCTCTCATTGAAAACAATTTTGCTCTTTGATCGATTAAAAAGAGTCTATATTTTACAGAAACAAAACTAGTTGCTGCATCGGCTACTCTCTTCATTAGGTGATAATTCTTTTTAATTTAGTGAGTAACACTAATTAATGAGACCATGCACCATAAACCATGTCAAGTAGCTCAATAATTAAAAAAATTATGATCAACAGCTGATGACACTAGTTTTTAATAATTTCAATCAATTGAAATAGTTACATAATTCATAATTTCTGCACCTGAACTCTGTAACGATCTCTTTGACTGACGAATACTATTTGTAAAAGCTCACTTGTTTTCTCCAAAATAATGGACACATATTTCTGTTTTGCTACTTAGAACATTCTATATTGCCGTAACATTATACATTGACAACTGTCCGAACATCGTCTGAAAACGCGAATTTTGGATTCTTCCAATTCCTGCGAAACGAGTAGTTTGCATACATAAAAGAACATCAACCTTAGATAAAATATCGTGAAATGATTGAAATGAATTGAAACATAGTGGATACATCACAGGATTTATTTTAGTGTACGCTTTTAATTTAAAAATGCTTTTGACTTATGAGGTTAAAAAAGCATAATTTTTTTAATTTTTGTTAATTTTTCTTTTCTTTCGGGCGTCTACAAACTTTTCTTATAGACTTATATAGTCTGATACAGCAAAAAATTGTCTTTACAGTGTGACCACTTCCGAAATGTTTGAATTGTTTTTTGCAGTGATATGCATGTTGCCACAAATGTCCTAGAAGGATGAAAAAGAGTAGGAGTATCCTTAATGAAATCCATTCATTGATAAAACTCTTGATATAAAACTGTCGATCATCCGCTATCAGAACCTATGTGGTGAACTAAGTTAGAATATAGTGTTAGAAAGCGCGAACTTTCAAGGAGGAGACCAACGACTGAAAAACCTCGGGTACTCAGACGAGATATTTGCGCCGTACAACGTAACTGAACGCGCTTATTCAAAACTTGTGCTATATCCAAACTATTTGGACGTTAAAGGTGATCTCTGTTAACATCTGCTTGACAATCTTGAATTAATTATTGGATCAATTCTTCGCATTAGACGGAGACAGCATAATGTAACGCTGTTTCACCAGAAACATCCTGAAAATCAACCTCATATAAAAAAATCACTTGTCATTTCATTTATGAAGTAAAATGTCAACAAATATTATCCCTGACTAGCATGACCCGAAGAGAAAACCGGAAAGTCATGGTGGTCAAAAAACAGTTTATTTAGCTGCTGAACCTAAAAGAAACTATGATTTTCTTATGCTCGGCTGTGATATTGATAGAGATATAACTCAAGAAATAAAATATACCTTTTTCTACAAAATAGCGAAGCGCAGAGTATCACTTGTGTACTTCAAATTCGCATAAAATCGGAGAGGTTCTTCTTCATTCTAATTATTTTTATTTTAATTCGTGAAGTTGGTAGGATATAGGACTAACTAGCAGTAAGCAGCTTCTCTCGAACATAGAATAATGAACATTTCGATCAAAATATAAATTTTTTTCTTTCCTTATTTTGTTCTTTGAAGTAGAATAGCGTACTACACATAGAGTACTTTGGGCTAATTAGAGACACTTTGAAATTTTCGTCGGTTTTTTGTTATTTCTTGGCCGTTTTTGGTCGGAAAAACTTGCTATTGAATACGGTGGTAGGCCGAACATTTTTGTACACATTCATGTAAAAATCTTTTGAAAATCTCCGACCGGTTTTGAGCCAAATCCAAAATGCAAAGAGCTCCATCAAAGTGTCTCTAATTACCACTATCGGAGTGATTAGAGACACTTCACTTGTACGCTTGGGATAAATAGAGATACACCATTCAAATACATGTAGTTTTTATGTACAAATCCTAGTTAATTAAGCCTAAGATATAATTAGTTCAAAAATACCTCATTTTTTAGCCCGAATCTTCACCATATAGTTTTGAGCTCATTATCATTTAAACTCATTAAGCTAATTAACATATAATCAACAATACTGGAGATTCTCTTTTTTCCTTTTTTATGCTTTGGGGTAAACAGAGACACTCCACTGAATTACACGGAGTTCTCAGAGACAAGCCTCTACTGTCTCTCAGAAGTCGAATTTGGTAGTTAGTTCTTCAGAACGCTGAACTCTATCACATATGTGAAATTAGCTCATTATTCCAGTGGATAAGCTATCATATTGGCGTCACACTACATGGGATACTAATTTTAATATATTTTATGGACTAAACAATCATACTTAGTTTTTCTCTTGGTGGAAAGAATAGTATATAACTTTTTGGTGAAGCGAAGTAGTATAACTCCGCTAATGATTCGTAATAAAGCATCCTTGATGCACGAATTTAAATTTTCTACCAACATTCAGAAGATGGAAAATAATACAGAAACACTAAAAGATAAGAAACTGAATTGACAACATATGAATTCTTTCTTCGATATCTTGTAAATATTGTCTCCCAAGCCTAAGCCAAGCCCAAGCTTGATCCAATCCCGACCTGCCAAGCCCAAGCGCTTGGGCTTGTAACATCCCTACACCAGGCCTGCTACTGTGCTAGAAGCCAACCTTTTGTCTCCTATAGTTTACGAGATATAACTCTCGTATTTCGACGTTGGTTGGTCTTTGGCGCCATCTACTGACAGCAAATGGATTTCTTTCCGATTTTTTCCAGATTTCTACCATTTATCTATTTAATGAATAAGAGTTTAGCAGTCGGCGTTGTATTCAATAAAAGGTGGTATCCATTCTTAGAATTAGTATTATTAGATTAAGTTCCGTTTTCCGAATTTTCAGGCATACTCATCATCTGTCAGAAATGTATAGAATAGTCACCAAAAATGTTGAGCACGTGGAAACACGGCGTAGTAGTACAGTCAGAGGTCGAGTTCACAATGCTCGAAAAGAAGACAATTCTCACGTTCAAGAATTTTTTGCAATTACGCACCTGCCTGAAAAGTTCGAAGGAATCTTGCACGTCTTTCGATAGATCGTGGTGAAGCATCTGTTCTCATACTATGCGGTGAACATCAGATCAAAGACTTACATCAGATCAAAAACTTACGAATTTTGACGTGATAAAATTTCGACGCGACCGCGTTAAGATGTATCAATAGTTTGCACGCGATCGTGACAAGAGCTGAACAAGTTAGCTACAGGATTTAAACGGGATTCTGATACGATCGAGATATTCTAGCAGAATTTTCTAAAACACTTCTTATAAAGGCTATAGCCGATGTCAGCATGAATGAATACTCCTTTTTATTAGCTTTAAGATTACAAAAATAATGCCATGCTTTAGTTCCATTACAATTCACCATTACTACTTTTTCATTCTCACTGATGTTCAAACACCAACGCTTATAGTTTTATTTTCACGTTTTTTCTTAATAGAAAGTATTACAAAACGATTTAAAAATCATAAAAAGCCAAAAATCAGTTATATTGATATCCTGGTTTAAAACACGTACAAGCCAAATAGTTTTTCATTTTTACATAAACTAATGTATAATCAATTTCTGCACATTTAACAATAGTATAATTGTCATTAACATTCAGAGTTGCAAAGTTAACATCACAGAGAGTGTACAGATTGTTAACGATCTGTTCGACAAGTCACGACTCGTTACCAAAACGTTTCCAAATATATTCTACTACTCCAACAACGATTACTACCGACCAAACAAAATGTTCACTATCATCAGTTGATAACACTATTGACATAGAAGATTTATTTATAAACGACGAATACGAACGTGTATTAGCAATATTACCTAATTGTGATCCGGAGTAGGCCATGGAAAAATATTCAAAATCAATAGCAAAAACTTACTCAGTTAACAACATTACTTAATCAGTTGAAGATTGAATATAACCTATCATGTACGCATGGGTATGACAACGTCAGCTAAAACTCACTCATCTGGTCAGTCAAATTTTCCATTCTTATCTTTAACAACAATTACAATCTGAAACAGATTCGATAGTACAAGAGAATAGTTCAACAGGAGATAAAATGGTTATTCAATCATCCAATATTGAATTATGATGATTTTCTTATATCGTTTGTTGAGATACCAGCTGATAACGCAATTATCACAGATAATGAAACACCAAATGGAACTGAAGAAAATCATCAAACAATAAGTCCATTAACATCAACATCGACAATATGTCGTACAATTGTAAGAGATTTGTGCGGAAAATATTGTTGGGATAGTTATGCGTGGAATATTAGTCATGAGTCAAAAGTAATAATACCATCACTTCTTAACAAATCGACGGGTAAAATTAAAAAATTACTTTTAATCTTCTTGTCATTTTTAGTTAACATGATTGTCTTTTTCTTAGATTTAATATTACCCTCTGTGTCAACTTACGAACCAACAGCTACTACTCATGGTATGACTGTTCCTATTGATGAATCACATGGCCTACCAACATATAAAAATCAACCACCAGATGCAGATATTTTAGATAAAGTAAATTTTCAGTTTTAAGTATGATCATTGATAATTCTTATGAAGCACATATTTTTGTTCTAGTTGTTACAATATATTTACAATCAAAGTCCAGAATTAGCATTTTACTTAGATAGAACGTTAACAGACGTGTTTCCAACTTCGGCACTTATAAATAAAAATGATGAAACAGCAATAATGCGAATGATCAATGAACAGGAAACATCCGAAATAGATTATTATCAAAATGTACAGGGGAAACGTCAACAAAACATCTCACAAAATATTTTAGACGATAACTTTTTACATATGCTATGAAAATATAGGTTTTATTTCTTTAATAGAAATGACGGTTATAATCTATATGATATTTATTGTTTGACATGATGTTTGAAAAGACAGCTGTCTTTTTCTTGCAAAAAGAAAAGTTATCGCTTTTCGTTTTTTTGGAAAA